TCAGACGTTCGGTGTGTAGTGAAAAGAATTAAGATATGAAAACATTATCTATGATAGATGTATTAAATCCTCCTTATTACTCTGAAATGTTACTTGCCGGTTCTAATATCATAATTAAATGTTTAGAATCTAGAACACATAAGGTTTCCAGATCCAGTCGGCAACATACCATAGATCCGAACAAATAATGGCATATATGGCAAACATATAGCATTTAGCACATAAAAGCATTTGAGGCATCTTTCCTAAAATATATTAGTGCTCTTGTATAAAATCTGGTATACACTCATCTCACAATCATCACTTGGCATTCTAAGTTTAAGTCGAAAAATCCTACAAATTCCTAGTTCGCTTAAACTAATGCTCTAATACCAGCTGTGACATCCTTAAAATTTCACGGCCAGAAAAGACAGATTTTGTTTATGCTTTATAAAAATTAGAGTACTTGTTTTAATAAAAATGATGCGGAATTTGTTCCTAGAAAAACATGATAAATACGTTATCAAAGCATTTCCGAAGAAATCTATTTTATTCATTTTAAAACATTGGGATGTCATCGTCAATACATAAACATAAGCATAAACAGACCTTACATTTGTTATCACTAGCAATCTACATCTTCTTTAATCTCACAGTGTAAAGTAGCTTCGTAATGTAATTTTTGAGAATTATGCTACCCTAGACTCTCATGAGCAAAGCAATCGAATGTGATATTGGATTTACGTCAAAATATTAATCAAACAAACAATAAAACCAACATATTAGAGTCCGATACACTAAGACCATAAACACTTCTCTAGGAAGCTTCCACGGCCGTGAACACCTTTAGGGAATCAAGCCTTGACCGTGAACAACTTGCAAGAGGCTACTTCGGCCGTGAACCTCCCAAATCCACCTAGTCTTGACCGTGCACACCATTTGAGGAAGGAAACATGACCATGAACACCATCCTAGGAAACCTTTAGGCCGTAAAACCCAAAAGCACCACAATTTGGTCGTAAACCCCTTAAGAGACCCCTCTTTGGAGCGTAAACCATTGTCTAAACCCATTTAGACCATGAACTCCTTTCCAATTCAAAGGTGTTTACAAATTGTGAGCTGTAATGGGTTGAATTCCAATGTAAACCTTAGTAATCTATGCATTACCCACCAGTACTCCAGGCATATATCAAATTAATTCCTAATTCCCATATGATAGAGCGTAAACTCCCTTTCTCATTTCACTAATTCATTTTACTCACTATAAACCTCCGTAAACTCCCTCAAGGATTCAACCAAGAACTCAAGAAGTCATCTTCTTCACCATTCCTCTTGATTTATTGTAAGTAATTGGGCCAAACTTGATACTTCATATGTGAATTGTTAAAACTCTTCTTAGTCACACATAACTTCATGTGTTAACAACATTAGGATATCAAAATCTCCAAGGGATTCATCCAACACATCAAGTGTTCTAGGCTCCAATTTCTCACATCATCTCTTCAACCACACTTTCTCCTACCCAAGGTAAGCTTCATACCCCTATTTTTGAGTTTTTACTATTTGGGGAGAGAATACAAGTCAAAGGTCTTATGAAATTTTGGTATAATTTCTTGTCTATACTTTTATTCTATGATGTATGTGTTTAAGGTTATGAAACTCCTTATGATAAATCCAAAAGCTCAAGATTTTGGTTAAGTCTCAAGAGTTTGGACTATATTTCACATATTATTTGTTGAATTTAAATAAAAACTATTGTTTATATGAACTAAAATTCATAAACCTTATGTCAAGAATCACAAAGAATTGCTCAAAGAAATTACTCAAACAAGTTGTTGGGAATAATATTTTGAAAATGTTAAAGTATGAAAAGTTTATTATTTTTGGACCATTTTCGGGCATATATATATATATATATATATATATATATATATATATATATATATATTAGGGTCATTATGAAATATATGATGAATTTGAGCTATTAATGAACATTTCAATTAAAATGGGACAAAAAATGGAAATGTTTGATAAATAAGGGCCATATTGAACATTTTCTTAAAAACGAGTCTAAAATGAGTATTTTAGAAGAAATGGATCATTTTCAACAATTCTCGTATTTATGGATCACTCATGATGCTTTTTAACAAATGTGGGTCTTATTTATTAATTTATAAAAAGAAGGGCCACTTTTACCAACATCGATAGTATTGAGTCATTTTATATATATATATATATATATATATATATATATATATATATATATATATATGATTCAAAGTGGATTATATTCAATAAACGAAACACTTAGTCAACGAGCACAACTAACGTTATGAAACAAAACGAAACACCTAGTCAACGAGCACAACTATGTTATGAAAAGAAACGAAACACCTAGTCAACGAGCACAACTAAGGTTATGAAACGAAACAAAACATCTAGTCAACAAGTACAACTATTGTTGTTTATTAAATAAATAACGGATTTCAACTATTTCTAGTCAGACAAATCTTCACCGTACCTATATAATAGTGTACGTTTAAAGTCCTGTAAGAGTTATAACTAGAGTCTCCTGGAGGGAGAGCAGAAATTTGTGTATAGATCTATATGGGGTTGACACCCCGCACCTTCGTTGTTCGCTATAGTTAGACATGCTAATCTAGGGTGACAAATGTCTTCAACATAACTAACTCCTAAAGAACGTTAAGACATACACTCCGTCATATTAGTATGGTTATAACGACTCACTAGAATATAACAATATCATTTAGAGATTTACGTGGGAACACATTACAAATAGTTAGCACATTGTGTTGATTGTCCCGATGCATGGTGTTGATTGTCCACATTCGTTGTGTTGATAGTCCACATGCATTGCGCAGATTTTCCACATACACCTGTCGGTTACTCACACCACCTCGGTCATAGGGTATTAAGACCATACACAATTATACAATTTACTCAGACCACATATTTTGTTCAACATCAATTATGATTTTGAATATATCGAATGAAACTTTATCACACAAGTCTTTTGGTTTTAAAACTGCTATTTTTGTATATCAGAAAATATAGGATTTTCTGGGGGAAAAACGAACTTTATACAATTTCGAATGAGGATAAACTAAGCACACATGCAACTATATTTGATTGGAAAGAAGACTTACAACTGTTTTGATAAGGAACTATAGGAAATTCTGGAGAAAACGATTTTATACAATTTCGGAAGATGATAAACTAAGCACACATGCAACTATATTTGATTAGAAACAAAACTTACAACTATTTTGACAAGGAAATATAGGATTTTCTGGAGAAAATGATTTTATACAATCTCGAAAGATGATAAAATAAAACACACATGCAACTATACCTGATTGGAAATAAGACTTACAACTATTTTGACAAGAAAATACTGGATTTTCTGGGTTTCTAAACTAATACAAAGTTTTATACAAAAATGCTTATGAACTCACCAACATATTATATGTTTACGCTTTTCAAATGACTTGTATTCTCAAGAAAACAATAAGCAAGTTTATGGATCACGGATTCGGGATTATTTTGCTATATTTTGGAATTTATTTACTAATGTCTCTTTTGTGTAAATTGAGAACAAATACATGATGTCAAGACTGTCACTACAAGAAAAATAGCCTTTTACGACGCGCAAACCACGACACTCATTGATTTATGTTACGCAATGGAGAGTGATGTTAAAAAAGCGTCATCTCTTCAAAAAAATTAAGGATTTAGGTCACGCATTATTGCGTGCCCTTAAATTAGCGTCATACGAGAAAAAATTAAAAACACGGAGGGCACTGTATCTTAAATGAGCGTCCTCTATGAGTGTCACTTTATAATTTTAATGAAAAGCGCGTTTAGTAGATAGGGGGGAAAATGAAATCCCTAAAATTTTGAACACCCGCCTTCTTTTTTAGCCTCCACTTTTGTTTCCTTCTTGCCCTAATTACAATCCTTTCTTCTCCCTCCATAGATTCGACTGCTGCCTTGCCTAGTTATCAACACTCCTTCCTTCGTTCGTCACTTGCCTTCTTCGCCTGACAATATCTCAAGAAGTACAACTCCGAAAGCATACAAGCTGCTATCGGTTTCGCCATAGAGTTCCGCCGTTCCAAAATCGCATATTTTCGCGTTGAGTGACTATGATTGGGTTACAATTATGCTTGAGCCGACGATTGGGTTACAATTATGCTTGAAAGTGTGAAGAACTTACATGCTCCATCTACTTATATCCTAGAGCCGACGATTTAGGACCTTACCGCTTCACATCCCACACAGCGCCGGCGATTTAGGGCCTTACAAGCCCTAGCTCGGATTGAACTAAGAATTTAGCGAGAGAAATCAAGATTTTTGGTCATCATCATCACGTTTGCATTAGCATCCATAGGCTACAGATCTCAAATTCCTCTTCGGATCCTCGTAATTGACCTTTCCCAAGATCTCGATTTGATCAAACATACATATAATTGCAGTCACCGGTCTACAACCTGGTTATATAGTTCATTTTTGCACTAAACATCTCAGGATCTGATCGAGCTCTCTCGCGGTTTCGTTCCCCTTCAAGAAATCTCTTCCCTCTCCGTCTCTCGTAAACCCACCAATTTCTCGCTGAAAGCGCGCGGCCTTTGAATCAGGCATCTATTTTGAAATTTTTGTTCGAGGAAGAAAGGGCTCGCCTTCTTACCCAGGTCTATTTTCCTTCATCTTTTATTTCAACGATTGCTCTGCTTCATCTTTCTTGGTTAGATCATGTCGATTATGCATATGGGTGGGTTATTACACTTTAACGCTCCTTTGAAATCAGTTAGGGTTACATACGAAAAGAAAGAAAACCCTAATCTGAAAGAGCTTTTAGGGTTCTTACAAACCTTCTTCAAGTACCTTCAACATGGTTACGTAGCTGTAGATTACTCACTTTTTTCTTCTCTTATCTTTCCTCTTTGCTTTTACAGGTAATACGACATGATAGTCTGGTACAACTCTTGCTTCTTGGCAGGATGTTACAGGGGACCACCAAACTTCCATGGAAATTTTCACACCATCCAGCTGCTGCTGGTACGTTTTTCACAGTCATGCTACTTGGACTTAAATTCTGCACATGCCAGTATGAAGGGAGCCTACAAAATGTTAGATTGGGAATTCAACTGCTGGAAGATGGGATTTATCGGTATTACATTCAACTCGTCTTTCTTCATAATATAACATTTTTTATTTTAATTTAAATTCTAAAGTGGAAAACTGAAACCAACTGCAGGGCTGCATTAGGGTGGTTTGCTTACGAACCTGAATGGTTTGAACATGATCATGGAAATTTTGCACACATCGAGGCTCAATCTGTTAATTCATTTGTTCACTATCTCCAAAACGATCCAAAAGCATTGGGTGGGGAATATGGGGGATCTTTTCTTGACATGGTAAGACACCGATATTGCTATTTATCATGTTGTGTTTTATGATTTTTTATTAACAATGAACAATCTCAGAAGGATCACTGTCACCCTGTTTGGGGACCAATGGAGAACTATGCAGCTTGTAGAGATAAGAGGAAGCAGCTACTTTTAATGTTATGCCAGCATGAAGCTGACAGGCTTCAAGTTTGGGCGCAACCTGTTAACTACAAGTAATTTCATCAACTGCAATTTTGCAACATGTGATCTCTTTCATTAAGAGTCCTCTTTCATTAAAAATAGGAGGTAGCAAGGTCAATTTTCTGAGATTTGAAACTATATGTCTCGAATTACAGGTTGAAGATCAGAAATCGAAGGTTGCAAGTCAGATTTGGGATCGAAAGTCTGAGGTTTAGGGTACGATCGGAAGCATCAAGATGCAGAAAAAAAAAAAGCGGAGGAGGCATCAGGTTCGAAGATTGTTCTCTTCTTCTTCATGTATGTGCCCTAGATTTCTTTCTCTTACATTCAATCTCTAAAGATTCTTTTATTACCTAAATTAGGTATGAAGATTATTCTCTTCTTCTCCATTTGTTTTTTTGGAATGACGACCTCTCCTTTTAGGAGTAAGTCCTGAGTCCCCAATACTTGATCTGCAAGCTGTGACATGAGTTTTTAGTGAAGATAATGAGTAGTAGACTTCAAAACCCATTTGTTGGGGCAGCTTTCCAATCTTCCTTAAAGCCAAGAAACGTGAACTGTTTGGGTTATCTTGGAAACAAATTTCCCAGAAAACCTCGGTATGATATCATTCCACGTGCCAAGAAAAACGACTGGATATCTCACGGGATTAGGTTCTCACAATCATTCGGGGAAAATGTTGAGATTTTATGGAAGAATATGGGATTAAGAAGTGGGTTTGTGGTGAAGTCCGTGAAGTCCCAGATCTGTTACAAAACTTATTATTGTTTTTGTTTAATTTCTGGTTGTGGATCACTAACTGGTGGAGAAATCTGAGGTAATGCTACTCCTCTATGGTTTCTATTGGATTATTTGATAACTGGATTTGATGTATCAACGCTTAAAAAAGTTGATTTTGATTCAGAAGTTTTCTGCATCCTTGCCTTTAGTAATCAAACTAATTACATTCTTCTATTTGGAGTTGAATGGACTCGAGCTTTAAATATTTTAAATTACATTTACAGGGGCGTTTTAGGTATCAACCAGGTCAGGTTAGAGCCTTTGGAATGATAGCTGGTGGATCTGGCATCACTCCGATGTTTCAGGTGTTTATTTATTTATTTTAAACCTTATGAAGTCCTTTTTTTAAAATAAAATAAAATAAGATGGTAATTCGTATTCTGTGTTAGGTTGTTAGAGCTGTTCTTGAAAACCCTTCAGACAAGACAAAGGTGCATCTCGTCTATGCTAATGTCATGGGTAAAGTTGGACCTGGCGGCCATCCATCTGCGATTGAAACTGGGACGAAGTTTTACATATCAAACCTTGATTACAGTATCTCGAATGACGATATTAAGGTGATTGATACTTTCTTTTTATCTCTTATAGCTAACTTTGGCTAGATCTGGATACCGTACTCCAATGTTTGGATTAACCATAAAAAATCAGACTTAGAATATTTCAAAAAATCAAACTGATTTGGTTGTTTCTTCTTTATTGACGATCTAATAAACGTGAAATTGAAATCCTTATACTTCTAAGTTTGGTACTTGGTAGAAGGCAAAGTTAGTATAAATTACAATACATCTTAAAGATTCTTTGAAGATGTGTAAATCTATTTCCATATTCTTTTACTCGTGTGCAAGGGCATGAATTCAAGGTTTTAGTACCTTTTGTAAAGTTTCATGTTTGTGATTCTATTGTAACTAAATTTTCTTTCACGGGATGGCTATGATATTGTATTAAAGAAGGCAAGATGCATTAGCGGCTGTCAAAAGGTATAACAATGTCGAACTTGATGGGAAGCCAATGAATATAGAGATTGTGGGATTAAACATTGTGGACCCTGTTGCTGGTTTTTCATTTCCAAACAACTCTTTTGGAAACATGAATGGTTTTCCAAGAAGGTATGGTTTTTTCTTGTAATTTGAATCTTTGGTTGCATTTGGTTGATTTCTTCCTTTTTTATTGAAGACGCAATTCTTTGGCAGATCTTTGCCTTGATACGTAAACCCCCTCCCCCTCTTTTTTTTTTTAAATTATATAATAGTTAAGTCCTTATAGTTTTGTGATTATGTCAAAACAGGCCCTTACTGATGGTCTTTCTAAGGTATTTCTTAAACCCTGATATATAACTTGCAATGATTCCTTTATGAAAGGGTAAAATAGTCAAAATAGTAGCTAGTCCTATCACACCACCATTACCAACAGACAGTGCAGAAAGAAGACAAGAATTATGCGAAATTACGGTTTTAGAAAAATTGGAGAACCACTTTCAGATAATATCACTTTGAAGACATCATTGATACTCTTCCCAAGACCGTATTACACTCTTACTTATTAATTTTTATCCTTTTTTATTTGAACATATTCATATTTAATACTTTTTATTTTTTTTCTCAAAAGGTATTTGAAATTGATAACATGAAAGCATGGAAATCTGTTTTGATATTTGCCACTTCATATGCATTGGGGCTTTTCATGATTGCTAAATCCCCATGGTATTTTTTTCCATTAGCTTGGGCATGGACAGAAACTGCAGTTACAGGGGTAAAATTGTAAATAAAGTTACTTTGTTTTTTTCTCTTCATTAAATAATCCTTCAAATACATATTTTTAATATTTTTTTTGTTGTATTTGTGCTTTCAAGGTCTTTTAGTTGTTTTTCTGGACAAAATGAAGAAGATATAGAGAGATTGGTGCTGATTTGATGCTATTTAAATATGATTAGGCCGTTCAGATATTTTTTTGGACAGACTTGCCCCTGTTGCTGGTGGGTTTACCAAAATACCCTCCATAAGATAGTTTTATAAGTGCTTTAAGTCCCTAGTACAATCTACTGCATGTAGATGGAGAAATTACCCCTGTTGCTGGTGGGTTACCCAAAAGAAACTGCTTTGCATTATCCTTGATTTAGTATGTTAGTTCAATGTTTTGATGGATTTTAGGTTAAACAGGGATGTATCTTTTACTTACCATTTTATTGAAAACGGAATTATGGGTTTGGTTAAAAGAAAAAATAAATAATAATAACTACATGAAATAATGAACTTTTCAAAATGTCTCATTCCATTATAATATCTTTGTGACTTAATGTTTTAATTTGGAACTTGATTGCTTACTGATAGTTGTTTGTCCCTTTCTCTGGATCAGGTTTAATTTGGATTTCAAGCTCACCACCATCTCCAAGTAATGAGGGATCCGTTACACTTAAGAATATCAGCTTATCAAGAGCATCTCTTGCATTACTAAAAGAAGGTTTCTTGTTAGAACTTTTGTTTTTAAAAACGATAAAAGATGGAAATCAAGCATGAAACATGTAGACTGTAGAGATGTTTTTACACGTAAATTTATATATTGTAAGAAATAGAATTGTAAGACATTAAATTTTATGAAATGGATTATATTTTTTGTATATGATATTTTATTATATATTGTGAGGCATTAAATGCAAATTTAATTTGAAAATTAGTAAATCTATAAAAAATAATTTTTTTTTAACATTTAAAATTATGATACGCAAACATGCGTGTCATCTTCATTTATGACATGGCCTTTCTTGACAGAGGCTTTCTTGATACGCATTGCGTGTCATTAACACGCGCGTCGTAAGGTTACGACACGCGAATGCGTATCGTCTTCCTTTATGACAGGGCCTTCCTTGATACGCATTGTGTGTCGTAACCGAGCGTCGTAAATGCGCGTCGTAAATGCGCGTCGTCTCTCTTTATGACAGGGCCTTCCTTGACACGCATTTGCGCGTCGTCTGAGCGTTTTACGACGCGCAATGAGCGTCGTAAAAGGCCTTTTTTCTAGTAGTGTGTGTAAGTTTGTTATCATAATGTATGATGTTTGGATTTGCTATGTTTCATTTATATTTAGTTGTTATGATACTACACAATGATGACATCTGCCTCCGGATGTTTCCGCCGTCCTGGTCCAGGGGTGTGACAAATTAGTATCAGAGCATTGTCTATAGTGAACTAGTATATCAAAGCATTATTTAGTTCATGGATACGTGCTAGGAGCAGTGTCATACTAAGTATATTATAAAACTAGTGATGAGTTGAACACTACGGGTAGGCCTCGGAATATGTAATTAGACTTTGAATAGATGTAGTCTGATCAGTTACAGTTATCTAAGCTGTAACTAGCATATGTTGGGATATAGTCATGGTGAACGGCGAGTCTAGTACATACCAAAGGAACTCCGGAATCAAAACTAAATTATTAAATACTATAGGTGTGTTTCAGGATCCCATAGAACCTCCCACAATTAAAACGCTTGCATAAACAACATGGCTGAAATTCCTCATAAAGGCCTCTACTACCTTGTCGTGGTAACTTGCGTATGGATTAAGGAGGGACCATAAGAGGTTCATGAGGAAAAACCAGAAATGGATCTTGAAGAACACCAAGAAATAGACTAAGAATGGGAGTATTCTGATGAAAAATCGGACAAAGATGAAGGCACTAGACAAATTCTTAGCGAGTCTTACCATGTCAAAGGTGGGCAAGAAACCCTTCAACTCTTCCTCCCAAGTTACGTAAGCACCTAATGTAAATACTCTTGGAGTAGACATACCTAGTAATAAAATAGTGCCCATTCAAGTACAAGTTTCGTGACTGACACCTACCGAATTTAAAATGCTTTAGCATTAGGGTTAACCCAACTACACGCCTGATAGCCAACAATCCACAATTGACATGCACCGTGCTCCGATCCCCAATACCCTCACAAATCAAGCATCACCTCCATTTGGGACGCAAATAGCCCGATTAGACTCCCAGTTTCCGACTCTCCATCATGGGGTAATGGAGATTGTAGAAAAAGCCCGATGTATGACAATGTAAATCCGACTCCCCCACGAATAACAATAATACCATTCCAAAGTATTATGGAACCAACAGGTAGAACCAAGGAACCATATGAACCGTCTACACTCCTTAAATGAGGAAGTTATCACCTCGAAACAACAATTGATTGTAATGGAGGCTAGTGTAACACCCGGGTTTCAGGGCTAAGCATTTTTGATAATGTAATAGTTTAGGTCAACTATTGTAACTCTTTATGAAGTAATAAAGATGAAATATTTGAGTATTATGTGAATTATGTGTATTTATGTGCTTATTATTTAATTATAAATTATAATTAATAAAAAATAAAAATAAGCGTCAAAATTAAAGTGTGAGATAAACCCGATATCTTTATAAAAAGTTGTAGTGGTAGAAACAAGGATTCTGGGGATATAAAGAACACCGAAATCCGAGTTATAACGAAGAAGTTATGGCCCGTCGAAGTTTTTACGCCAAAACCGGCACGGCACCGGGAGACGTAAAAAGTGAATTGATGATAGAACACTTTTTAGCCTTAGTGATATAAACTAAAGTTGTAGAGTATGTTAAACCGATAAAATCCGTAAAAATGACGCCCAAATCTGACTTCGTATGAGGAAGTTATGATTTTTCGAAGTTTCGGCTTAGCAGTGTACAGTCCGAAACTCAAATTTTAGTTCGAGCGGTTTTTGGCTTACGTGGCCTAAATGAAAGTTGTAGTACTCATAAATACCTACGCGTGGATATAAAGAACGTCGATAATAGAGCTCGTATGCGAAAGTTATGGACAAAGCTTAATCCCTACTTTTCGAGCACGGCGAATTCGATACAGTTTTGTAAATCCGAGATACAATGAGAATTAGCCAACGAGGTATAAATAGGAGTTGAAGATCTTATTAATAGGAACTCAACAGTAAATATACAGACAAAAATGGAGCTCGTATGCGAAAGTTACGGACGAAGCTTAGCCTCTACTTTTCGAGCGCGGCGAATTCGATACAGTTTTGTAAATCCGAGATAGAATGAGAATTAGCTAACGAGGTCTAAATGAAAGTTGAAGATATCATTAATAGGAACTCAACGGTAAAAAGACAGACAAAAACGGAGCTCGTGTGCAAAAGTTACGGACGAAGCTTGGAGACTACTTTACTATACACTTCCTATAAATAAGAGATGAACTCTTCATTATTTCCTCACACCTTCAAACCTTTCTTTCTCTCTCTAACTTCTCTCTAACCTCCCTAAACCCCTCCCAAGTCTAGGGAACCTCCCTATCATGAGAAGAAAGCCCCGGAGCGCCCGACGGCTCCGAGAAGAAAAGCTTTCGGCTTGGAAACGCTACTCCAGCAAAGCCCGGTTTTTAATAAAAACCCACTGTAAGTGAGTTACGCCTATACTATATTTAATATAGCTTTTATTTAATTATAGTCACATTATTAGGAGTTTAGGATCTTAAAATAATTATTTGGGCTATTATTATGAGTTATATTGAGTGTTATTTAACGCTTATATAATACTAATAATAGCTAGACTATTAATTAGTCGCGATTAACGTTAAAACTAAACTCTAGTGTATTGATACTAGGTTTTGGTCAAGGAAAAATTGTTTTAAGAAGTAACGAAGTGTTGTCCGAGTGCCGAGTCACCACCTTACCAAGTGAGTGCATAGTTACTTTCAGCTTACATATAGATATGAAGTATTTTATATAAATTACGTGCTATGTGTGCATATTATCTGAATACTTGCTATCTATGCTGGATGAACATTGTTATACATGTTTTCAATGATTTAAACTGTATATGTATTTTATATCTATGAAAATGTTGGGGTAGAACATGGATAGATGTAATAGGTGATGTGTGATAAAATGATGAGAGGCCTCGATGTTGATGTTGTTGATTATGTCATCAGCAGAGTATGGATGAAGACCACATACTCTTCTAGATAATCCAGTGGAACACTAGCAGGCTCGCAACCTGTAGGTATTTGTGAACGATGTTTTCACCGGTGTACTCCATCCCTAACATGGTTGCCTTTAGGACATTTATTGCTGAGGAATCCCCTTAGCAGTAGTGTCCATCCCGATGATGATCCTTAGGCTAGGTCCCTTATGATAGGTGTTTAGGGACGTAAAGTGAGGATAACGGGAATGAGTAATCGGGTTATTGTTGATTGATGAAATTAATAAACTTATTTATTGTGGGTTGAAAACCCTATGTGCTCAGCAGGCTCGCCGGCCTGACCCAATCAGTTTCTTGTATTACAGGTAGTGGTGCATGTGCATAGATGTGATGTTTTGGATGAGGGATTACGAGTATAGGTCTGTAGATACGAAATAATGTAGTAAGGCTTATATTGTACTATTTATGCTTTTGGTCTGTATCGAACATGACATCCCAAGTCTTTTAATGAAATACATTTCCTTGGGAATGCTTTTGATAAATCTTTATCATATTTGTTTTGGGACAAATTCCGCAACACTTTTATTAAAATGTTACTCTGATTTTCAAACAAAGCATAAACAAAATCGGTCTTTTCTGGCCGTGAAAATGGGGATGTCACAGTTGGTATCAGAGCATTAGTATAAGTGAACTAGGAATTTCTAGGATTTCTAGACTTAAACTTCGAATGCTAAGCGATGATTGTGAGGTGTGAGCACTAGCTTATTTCAGGAATTATGCCTAAAATGCTTTTATGTGCTAAATGCTTTGTGCCTGATATGTTG